TTCGGCGGGGAGGGGGGGATGCGAAGTTTCGAGATTTCGGGTTCGGAATAGGTCGATTTGTGGATATCTTGGTATTGGATCTTGGAAATCTTGGATATATTGGTAAATCAAAACTGTAAAATAGATGAGGATAATTTATGTTGATTCCCATTATGAAAATTTTTTTCTAACATTGACGTATGCATGTTTTTCCGTTTTTAAAGTGCGTCCAAAGCAGCAACTGGAACGGACTTTACGGATGCGAAACTGCGGATTCTGTCCACAGAACAAAGACAATACGGGCATTATCAGTGTAAAGCCACTAACAAACTTGGACACGCTCAAGCAGACATCGAGTTTTATGGTAATTTTTGCAAATTCTCCACTTTACTTTGTTACACATATTTGAGCAAATAATGGCAAGCAGCAACGTGTCGTTTATTGATTGGTGCGAATTTAATAGATGCATTCACTTTAATTTGGGAAATTAATCCAAGAGTTTCCCCCTGGGGGATTTTGTTGGCAAAATGATCCCTATTCTGTTAGTTTAATCATGACTTCATTTCAAAACTCATTTTACGTAAAAATTTGCCTTTTATAGTTCAAAATGTGAACGGCAGTTTGCATTTTGCACTATTGAACGGTTCTATAGAATAAGAATTCTACTTGCGTTCCCGCGTAAGTATGCCCTCCTCCAGATATTTGAAGAAAATTCTGCCTATGCTCTATAATGCTTAAACGCAAATGCAGATGAAATGTTTTTCATTAAATATCTTCCGGTCTTCGCACCATCCGGGTGAACTATAAACGGACCCTATTTAGTCTTCCTGTTTTGGAAAATGTATGTGGGTAGTTTCCGACAGCCTACTGAGCTCCGGTGATTTTGAAATTTTCATGCGGTTAGAGTATTAATAGAACAATAAATTCATTCGTTGCAACTTCATATGATTTTTAGAGTTTCGATTTATTAAAGTGAGAATAGCTGAAAGCTCGGAATATTTTCAGGATCCAGCAGAAAAAACAGAAAAGAACTTAAAATGAGAGAGTTGTAAAAAATTAAAACTAATTCACAATAGCCGGAGTCTTGGCCCAGAAGCACGGGTTTAACTGACGCGGCAGTAATTTATGCTCAATAACAGAGATGTGTGATGAAGTAATTTTTTTCCTGGTTTTTTCAACGGCCTAACAACTTTGGATGTAACGACTTAACTGAAATCGAATTAAATTCAATTTTTCTTCTTTCTTTTTTCAACAGAAACTGACGATCCAGTATGTCCCCCAGCCTGTGGCAACTCTGCTCAGAGCAAGGGCTGGTTCTTTTGGTGATCAAATAATTCAACTGATGCGGTAAAACTTCAAATCTCTGTGATTTTCCTGAAGACTTATTCTACATTTTAAGGCTTTAGGGCGTTTTGTGTCTCGCTGCCTCGTTAGAATGGCAGTGCACACACCGAATAGATTCTATTGTTTATTCGCTGTCAATTATTATCTCCGAGTGATATCCTCTGAATCAAAAGTAATCATAAGTAATCATAAGTAATCACAGAAGTAATGACGAGTAGAGATTACGACTGAATAAATCTGTATTCCTGATAGAGCGAGTGATCCCCAGCAGCACAGCACATCGAAAATATTGAAAGAAAATTGCGATTTGTTGTAATGAAAGTACAATATTTCACCATAAAGTTGCAATATTTTTTACAATTGTCGGTCAATAAATGCTATATATAAACGACCATGAGATGAGTAACTTGTATTCAGGAGGGTATGCATAAATTCTAATGCAATAAAATTTACAACCTGCTTTAATTATACTGCAATATATTGTATTTAACACAAGGAGCCTCCTCATTCGGTAAATAGGCAACACCTACAGAACTCCGATGCAGTGGGAATAATTTCACCATGAAATCGAAATTTATTGCAATTTTTGCCTCTTGGGGAGCTGTAATTGATATACACTTCAGATTCTCTCACAAGTTTAAGTTCCTATTATCATAATTAGCGTAATACTCGATATGACACTGTAATAAAATAGATTTTTCAAATTTTGCACAAGCTTTGTTTGTTTTTATTCGAATAAATAAAATTTTACACAGAAAATAAAAGTGCCGACTGCTACTTGTATCATTAGCACAAAAATCAAATTTTGGAAAAATTGTCGTTTTGTAAAGCGAGGGCACTGAAATCGAGCGACTTGGGAGATTTTAATGCAATATTTCTTTGTAAGTTATTCACAAGATATTTGCTCTTCTTTCATTTTTATTTGTAGGAACTTCGTGTTTTACATACCGTGTTATGCGGCAGAAATCTCATTGAAAAATCGGGCAGTAGAAATTTGATAAGTATACCATTAGGAATCTTTTCAACTGCTGATAGCACAGCAACATTTTTAGAATAATCAACGTCTTGTTTGAAAAAAGTCCAAATACAAGTAAACGTTACCTCATACGCTTTGATTTGGTACCTTTGCTTGAAATAAACTCATCTTATGTAGCTCTTCGACGGTTTTCGACCCGGTTAATAATTCTTTACAAGGTTTCATGCAACTCTTTTGCGAGCACGCGTTTTTGCGGTTCAAACATGTTCAACATGTTTCGTAACTCTCCGAGAATTCAACGTAGATATTTAGCTAATCGTATAGACATTGCTGCTTACTAAGCGTTTTACTCTTCTCAATGTTCTCATGATCTGGAGGAAGAGAGGGGACTTTCAATGACAGCAATGATGACCCAAAATGCTGTATAATGAAAAATCTGACCGAATATTCTCATTATAGAAACGTCAAATATACAATAAGACTTTTTAAGAAGTGCACGGTTGTTGCATAATTAAATTTGAGGTTCACTGGACACCATGCTTAGGACACATTATTTGGCGTAAAAACATTGTTGAACGCTCTTTCACATAATTGTAGCAGGCATGGATTGTTCACGCAAATTTTTTGGAGAAAACATGAATTTGTATTGTAGATGGACCCCTTTTGCATGGATGTGTTGAGTTAAATCTCAAATTTGATCCAGTGATTCCATCAATTCTAAAGAGTCTCATTCGGGAGGAGTATACAATAGGATGTTTCCGGCTAAAGTTGGGTGGACGAGATTAAAGGCACTGAAAACGCGTTTCTGAAACATAGAAGAGGAAAAATGTGAGATCTTGTCGGGAAAAATGGAGGGATACTTTCTGGTTGAAAAGGAAGAGAATACCTACATATATCTTGAACTTCTCATGTGCAGTGGAGCCAATTAGTCATACAAGCAACACAGACGGAAATGAACATTTATCACTACTTTTTAGGTCAAACTATGATTTTTTTCAAAAATATAGAAAAACTATCAAAAGCAGCGTCGAGCAGTCGGGGGAAAAGTTTGCTTTAATACATCTCTCTGTGCGGCACTTATCCATCATAGTATTCTGCCGTGCTAAGGAAAAACGCCGCATGAACCTTGAAGCGTTGCCAAATTTCCTTCGATTAAACAAGAATTTCCTGGTAAACATATGAATATTTTTATTCCATTTTTTTTTGATAATTTTGTTCGCAATTTCACCGAAAGTTCCTGAAAATTTGAGAGAAAAATATTCATAACTTGCCCCATGGGAAGGAAGGAAAGTTGGAAACTCTCGAATATTCATACGGCGCACGCCGCGGCGTTCTTCCTTAGCACGGCGGTATGAAGTCTTGCCTAGCAGCAGATTTGCAGGCGCAGTTTCAATCAGACCAAATGTGTGTTGCACGCATCCACGAATCTTAGAATGTTGTATTTTTACTTTTTGCAACAGTTATCCCAAGTGTTAAAGCTGAGAGTGTAATATTCGTATCATATGGACCTGAACATACTACTTTAATTTTTTTTTTACTTACTTTAATGGCGGACGTGCACCCCTTCAAATCGGCGCCAACATTCTTCGCTAGGGCAAGTTTGTCGTAGTCGCTGAGACTTAGGTACCATTCTCGCGCCTGAGTGTAATTATCTTCATCCTTCGTGTCGTGCCTGGAATAATGTTTAACAAGATTGACAATCAATATGAATAATTCTTGACCATCGATCAGCATTTTAAAAATTCCGAATGAAACTGGCAAAATACCGGGCCAGAGAACGATTCCATGAGTAATATTCATACATTATTTGTATTTTATTTTGTCAGTTTATTATGAATAATCACAACCCTCAGTACTGTCGTGGTAAGGAAAAACGCCGCATGAGCCCTCAGGCGTTGCCAAATTATCTTTGATAAAACATGAATTTCCTGGTAAACTCAAGATAATTTCTCTTCAATTTTTTAGATGATTTTGTTCGTAATTTCACATATAGCTCCTGAAAATTTTAAGGAAACATATTCATAATTTCTCTCAAAAATGAACATTTTATCGAAGAAAATCTGGCAACTCTCGAATGTTCATACGCCGGTCTTCCTTAGCACGGCAGTGTAGAGTTCTAACGTTTCAAATGTAAAACTTCTACACAACAATAAAATCAAAATAACATCAATTGGTCCGGTCTATCGGGATTTTCTTATTTTCGGTGGGAGGGGGGGGGTCAGTTTTTCTTTTCATGTTTTTACATTCTTGTGGTTATTTCAATTTTCAGGATTGAGGTTGCTAAATTGTGGATTTACGACTGTTCGTAGGCGAAGGGGCTTTAATCCACACAAACCAAAACTTAGGTTGTCAACACCGGGGTGTAAAGGTGTGTTTTACGATTTTTTTAGAAAAGGGGAAAAAAGGAGAGAAAGAATATAGAAAAAAGAAGAGGGTTGACAGCAAGAGGAAGAAGGAGGAGGAGAGTAGGGGAGGAGGCAGATAATTAAATAAGAGAGGAAGAGGAGTAAGAGGTAAAAGAGGGCAAAGAAAAGGAAAAAGGAACCGGTTACACCAATCGAATACGATTGATGACTGATCTATTGTAGTTTTTTTTTCAATTAATATTTTAAATGTCTCTGTATCAGAAGCTGATTTTCACTACTGTTTTCATGATAGGAGTCATTGTCAAATACGGCAGGACCCACCTTCCAACAACTCCTGTGATGTTGTAAGTGATCGCATCGCTGTAAGGATCCGTGCGCAAAGAGCTGTATGAATTCGGATAGTAGTTCACGTTTGCGCCTTGGTTAAACATGTTCATCGGTCCGTCGCGTTGGAGATTGTAGGGCGTCTCCAGAGGCCTGTTCACTGGAATCTGCATAAAATTGGGCCCCAGCCTGTACCTTTGGGTGTCTTTATACGAGAACATCCGAGCCTTCGCAAACAGGGAGAAATAAACTTTTAAAACGAGGAAACCCAGATAAGACAGAAATATTTAGCCAATATCTAAACAATATTTGATATTTATGTAAACATGGGGCCAATATTGGTTAAATATTGAGCCAATGTTAAAAATGTACACCATATTTCCGTTTGGCATAAATACTGTGCCAATACTTTAAAATACTGTGAAATACTGTGCCAATACTGTGAAAATTGTTTTATAATATTTCGGGCAAACATATTATTTTTACAAATACGAAATAAAGATCCTCTAAATATTTTTTTAAAAAGTAATTTTGATTAAAATAATATCAAAATATTGTCAGTATTGTGTAAATATTTCGACAATACTGACAATATTTGCCCAATATTGTAAAAATATTATGTCTTATCTGGGAAACAGTCGAAAGTCGTAAATTTGATAAATCCAATAACAAAGCTAGAGGAATTTTCTGGATGGGGCTAACCCTCACTTCTCCAGGAGGGGTCTGCTCGAAGCTCAGAAGGATTTTGGGGATTTCCCGGAATATTTTGGAAAATTGACCTCTCTCAGATGCATTTCGAGGCCATTCTCACGCAAATTTCGGCCTACATGTAAACCTAACGTTTGACTCTATCAACAGTTCTCTAAAAGCATCTCCCATATTCCTTTTTCTTATCGCGTTATGCAATGAAACGAGGAAACGTCAAATGATATCTCAAACCCGCGGGGTAGAAACAGGCCCACCTGAGCCCCTTGAAAGATACGCTCATGGTAAATTTCGTTTTATCACTACCGCAAAACCACGACAAAACCAGAATTCTGGATGTTTACGTTTCCAGAACAAAAAACGTAGTTTTAAGGGGGAGTTTTTCAACATTTTAATAAACCGTGTCCAAGGCTCTAAATTCTGAAATGAAAATACAACTTTAAACCCAATATCTGGAAAAAAATAGCTATGCCACTGACGACTCATTTTTTTTTTTTATGCTGATCACTGGTTCCCTCCGAAAACTCAAAAATTGATTTCTCACATTTGAATTGACAACTCATTTTTTGGGATACTGATCACTGGTTTCCTTCGAAAACTCAAGAATTGATTTCTCAGTCAAATCTAACAGAAATAGCTACCCATTATGGTCTGATAGCCCCCCGAAGACTTTGATTCTTTATGTACGTGCTCTTTACCTATAGATTACGTGAAATTCAACATATTTATTCCAGACTTACACAACAATCCCTTTCTTATCAAACAAAAACATATTGACTACCGTTAGGAAAAATGATTTCGGTGATGTACGTACCTGAAGCATGGGATCTCGACTGGCCTGAATTCCTGGAACCAGATTTGAGGGGCAGAAAGCAAGCTGCTCGATTTCGTGGTAGAAGTTCTGAGGATTCCTGTTCAACACCATCCGTCCCACGGGAAGCAAGGGGTATCTGTCCAACGGCCAAACCTGCATGGTTTAAAATACGTTAAAAAGTAAAATAAAGGTATAAAATAAATGTATATTTAAAACCATTTTTAGCACGAACATAAAATTGCCATAGGACGGTTAAACATCTCTTATTAAGGAGTTAAGGAGTTTCTGCTGAAAATTTAATTTGGCGAACACGGTCACTGGCACGGTTCACAGCTGGTCACGGGCTATATAGATATACCATTGGTGTTCCGGCCTCAGACGCCGAAAGTTCCGGGCGTAACACCCGGAACAGTAGAAGCTACGGCACCACGACCCGGAAATTTCAGCCTCTGAGCCCTAAATGGACGGTATGTCCATATAACCCGTAATTTTTTTCAGTGAACGAATTATTAAATAGATTTAACATACGTGCATGGTAGAACATACTCCTTCATAGCACGGACACAAATTTTCTGTTGGATCATAGAACTTCCAATTAATAATTCATAGACGAAAAATCTCGTTAAGTCAAAAGGACATCTTCTTGTTTAAAACTGTATTGCTGTTTCAAAGAGATTTCCAGTAACTTTAAAGAGGTTTCCGGTTGGCTCAACGAGTATTCTCGCCTGGAAACTTATTTTCAGGGTGTTATGTACAGGAAGGTTGGTGTAAACTCTATGAAGTCGATGACACTACCTTGGTAAGATCGAAAACGCTGTATTCGAAGCGATCGGCCTGTGCAAAAGTCATGACTTGGATGAACATACTCCAGGAGGGAAAATCGCCACCCTCGATGGCCTCGAAGAGATCCTCTGACGAATAGTTGGGATTTTCGCCAGCAAGCTTCTTCGCAGTCTCAGCTGTCAGATTCCTGACTCCCTGGTCCGTCTGTTGACCACAACAGAGTCAGTCAGTTGAATACATTATACAAATAAGAAAAGAACGGTAAAAAAAGTACCGTTAAAAATTTGATTCAATTTGGGAAGATCTGATTACAGCAGCTGCTATAGCTAAAGTCGAAAGAGGAGGGGTATCGACAAGGGCCATTTTTGGGCCCATCCTGAATGTCCTCGATCTTACGATTTTTTGCTCATTGAGGACTCATGGTAAACTTTGCGTATTGCATCATGATTCGGTCATTTTCGCTTTTCGGGCCTGACACTGGCCTGGACATGGATCTGAAGGCCGATTTTGGCGAAAAATGTGGGTTTTTCGGCATCCAACGCCCTGTTTTGAAATCCCTTGTTTCGTAGATGCTAGATATTTGCCTCTCAAGACAATTTTTTCGGCGTCTGTTGAAAGTTTTTGAGTTCTCTCCGATCCGAAATGTATTAATTTCAGGCGTTTTAAAAATTCGTCTTCCAAACCACTCCGCATGGAAAAAAGAGAAAAGAGGGGAAAGGGAAAAAATCAGGTGAAGAAAAATGTATTTTTCTTGCAAAATACTAAATGTGCCCTCTCAGTTATCTTTTCTATCGTCGCTTTGTTGATTGTAACGCCTAAATGCAAATAGGTATTCGTGCTCACAGAATTACCAAGTTGCATACACATAAAACTGAAGGCGCTCTTAGCAACCTTCTAGTCGCTTGCTGAGGTGATGCAACTTAGCAATTACGCTATTTAGAAGAAATGTTGCAAGAGGAAACCACTCTCTCTGGTTCATCTATAAAATCACCTATTAGCATAGGAGAACCAACGGCAACGGTTGTTTCTATAATGAGCCTGGAATAGAAGTTATTTTTGCCAAATGTGGTTAATTTTCCCCCCATTCAACTCAATTAAATAAACGAGAAAAGCGACACAAACTGTGGTTTGAAATTTTTGAGGAATAGTCGTTACGGTAACGAAAAATCAAAGAAAAAAGGAATAGTAACGAGTTGTTATTCTTTAAAAAATAAAGTACGAGAAGAATCTTGGAATGTCGCATTTTGAGGTACTTATTTTGGAGTTTAGCCATAGGTCGGATCGAAGAACTTACCAACAGATGGAATTTGCAGTAGACCGGTTGGTTACGAGCATTGACCATTATGAAAGTATGTGATCCGAAACCGTCCATATGACGGAATCCGTCCGGGGTGCCCAATTCTGAGTAGACCCTCATAATTTGGAAGAGCATTTCGTGTCTGTGTGTGATGAAATCCCACGGCATATTCGGATCCTAAAACGAGCCAAAAGTTAAGTTTTAAGTTTTAGGTTGCTATTGTATTTAAGTTGTATTGTTGTATTTAAGTTAAGGGTTGTTGATAGGAATAATTTGATGGCATACAGGTTAGTCGCCACAAAGTTCATACTGCACAAGCCGGAGTTCTCCTCAAACATCGCGTGATGAGATAATTTCATTGTACTCGATAGTGCTCAATGGCAGACCACTGTGCAGTGGCTGTTTCATTCAAAACAATCAACATCATCTGCAACAGTGTTAAAGTGCATCTCGGGTGGCGCAGGTAAGTTTCTCACACAGAGAGCACAAGTTTGTTCACATTTAGGTGTCGTTGCGTGACAAGAGAAACTGCATTCGCTCGGAAATGTCTCGACACGAAATGCACAATTTGAGGTGACGTTATGCCAGGAGTTGTCGACTGAATTAAAAAATTCGTCATGTGAAAGCACTTATACTGCAATAAGGCTAGTACATCTCTAGCAAATGTGATTGTTCTATCAAAATAACGTACCACGAGTTCGAACGTATAGGGTTTGGCGGAAAGGCTTTTGCATTGATATATCACTTGATGGAAACTGGAGGAACGAATATTTTCTTTTGGCATGATAATGTTTGGAGGAGGTGCTTTGTATTTTTTCACCCTTTTATAGTGCCACACGATTGGGAACAAGACTATGATCAATTAATTAGGTCTTCTGGTCTGGGTAGAAAACTCTCTCATTGTACGTTATTTCAACGGTGCGATGAGTGCTGTTATTTGAAAGAAAAATTTATTTTTGACCATCGAGAATCAAACGTGGAAATTTTGATCCTACCTCTCAAAATCAAAGTCAAATAATTTTGTGAGGGACGTACCTCGAAATCTATAAGCTCTCAGCTGCAAACCTTTTTTCCCCTCCCCAAAAGATAGGTATTCTCTAGTCCACTGTCCAAAGGCGTAGCCATTCCCTGTATTAGGCCAAGTCTCATTCGTCCGAGGATAGAATGTAGCATATCTTCACAAATTTTACATATACTTAGTCCGCATGAAGGAAAAGGCATACTTCACTATTATGTTTCATGAGAATGTACATGATGTTGCACTCGTATTTCATAAGTTTCCTTTCAGATTTTTTCTCTAGCTCGCAGCTAAAATTTTATTCAAGAATAGTTTACTGCTTTAAATTTACCGGTCTATTTGTTCTTGGATTGCGGCCTCTTTGAGAATGAACCATTGCTGGAAATAACATGGGATCTCGGAGGAAGAAAATGGGAGTGTTGTTGCCACACAAGTCCCAAATCCCGTCCGAGGTGTAGAATTTGATGGCAAATCCTCGCGGGTTCCTGTAAAATATTTTAAAATTTACAATAATGTTGAGTTTGGTGGAAATATAATGAATGCTAAAAAGAACATATTTGCAAATAACGCCTATCGAAAAGGCTTCTTTCAAAACAGATTTGGAGTTACAATTTTTAGCAGCAGGCCGATTATTGAAATTGATGGACAAATAAGCCATAGACAAAGAATACAAAAAGGATATGGAGGGATCCTATTGGTGGAAGCGGTGGTTGCAATTGACAAAGGAGGTAGGTAATAGACTAACTAAAGGCAATCCACGAGAGGCCTTGTAGTTAGTCCATCATTTTCTCCCTTAGTGTATATGAATCACCCAACAGGATCGCTCCATACTCCCTATGTCTCCTTAGTCTATCGCTTTGTCAATCGATTTTAATAATCAGCCTGCAAGTCTATTTTGCAGATCGATCAGGTGGTTTGATTTGAGATGGAGCAAGTATATAAGTACCTATAAATATTTATGCAGTTTTTCCAAAAAAAAAAAAAAAAAAAAAAAAAAAAAAAACTCTCGAGGAATGAATTAAACTCTCACAAAACTCACGATTGTCCATAAATATGTAACGCAGGCCTCAAAAAATATATGGGCAAAATGTACCCGTAAGGTGAATACTCAAATTGTTTAGTTGGCACAGCGAAAAAGCTGGGTTGAAGCAGGAGAACCCGATTTTCAGTATTCGATAGAATTTCCCAACTCTCTCATTAAAATCAAACCAAATTCTCAAGCTATGATTTGCACAATCCATGACATATAAGTGTTTGAGGTGAATATCTATCAAAACTTGCAATAACGCCAACTTTAAAAGCTATTTGCTCGATTTCCCTGTTTTTTTTTTACCTCAAACTTTGAATAGCTGCAAAAGGGTCAATTTTAGAAATGTTTTGACGCCCAACGGTGCGGAATCAACTTCTCTGAGATAAAGGTGTGGTTATCTGACTTTGTCCCCCATCTTCGGGCACTTGTAACCCTGTTGTGCAGGTATGTTAAATAATACAAAAAAATCAATGACCATCAATTTTTTTTGTATATAGGAAAGCTGACACCTTGCTAATTTTGAATAAATTTGCTGTGAGCATGAATTGATTACAAATTGGTAACATAAATCTTGAATACCGCATCAAAATAAGTTATTAGGTTAGATAGTACCGTCCAACATCAGGACCTCCTCTCTCATGGGTGACCGTGGAAAACCGAACAGCGACAGGAGTTTTCGTTCCAGGTTTAAATACGGCCGCCTTGCAAAATCGAGTTATGTCATGAGTTACCTCGAAAAATCCAAAGGCACCTACAGGAAAAGTAAGAACACCGGTGAACTACGAAGCACAGTTCAGTACAGTTCACTCGCATTTTAAAATTTGGACTGACCATCTACAGTGATTACTTTAGCCAGACTAAATTAAGCAAAGGTGATTTAAGCCTCGTTTGAAGAATAAGGGTGGGAATTGAGGAATGAGTTAGTCGTAGTTTTAGGCTAAACCAGAGGTATTCTGTCATCCAAAGCTCGAGGTCGAGAAAAAATACATTTAATGTGATAAGAGGAGTTCAACTTTATCTTTAACATATCAAGTCTTATGAAGGAATACGATCTCAAATCGATCATTCTGGGTTCTAATTAACGTAGTTTTGGATCCTTTACCCTGATTTTGGTCCAATTTTTGTTTTGTCGGTTTCATCCCATAAAGAAACTTAGAATACAAATAATCCAGCCAAAGTTCCCAGTGTGACATCAGTGATGCCCTTTAAATACGCCCATTCCTTAAACCCCATGCCTCACTCCTCTGAATGTGCTGCAGGTGGCGAGATCAACTGAATTAGCATGACACGATTTATTCCGACTCATGAATCCCATCGGTACGTCATATAAAATTAAAGTGTACTCTGGTTGTTTGGCGTGCTACGTTTATAAACCCAAAGTTGAATAGAGTACCTGTATAGGGAGGGTAGCGACAGATCTGAAACTCCGAAAGTCCATCAGGCCTTCACCGATGCCTCTACGAATAAAGTTAGGGCCCAAAAGGGCAGCCAACCTATGAATTTCAATTATCCATAGCGATTTACTGATACTATTGTTACGAACCGTCCTTTCTTAAGCACGTGTTTGACCTTTGTGTTCATGTGCACCACGTGTTCAATTTCGCGGAAGAACGCTCATTTCTGTACATTCTTGGCCATCTTGGTTAGAATTGGAATCTGCAGGCTGGCAGTGAAATTTTGTGCGTTAGAAATTGGCTAGAAGGGTGGCTGCACTTTTGGGCCCTAAGCCCTCCATGAACCGATCTGTCGGTACTCTCCCTATACAGGTACTCTAAAGTTGAATAAATCCTGGAAGACACTTCCGCAGTCACCGTCCACTGAAGCTTTTGAAGCACAATAGCTATCTCTAAGACTATCCATCAGTAACTCAGCCGCACTGGTGGAAACTTTCAATTTTGTGGGTTCTGAAGTTAATCAAAGTTAAAATTGAAGCTTTCATTTTCGGGCTGACTATCTTTTCCGCACAAAGCGCATTTGTGGTAATTTTTCCGATTATCATTGCCGCACAAAGTCATTTTCGCAAAAATAATTTTCCGAAGTATGTGGCAACGTCGAAAAAATATTAGGCATATTTAAGAAAAATGAGTGAACAAAGATTGAAAAAATGAGCATACTTAGCAACTTTTATCGACGGAACATCGCCAAACGATCCCTTTTTTTTTTGAGGTCGATAATAACGGCATTTCACTCTCTTACGAACTAGCATATTTTACCCCAGTTGCATTCAAATATATCTTAAAATTTTCGAGAATGATATCGATTTACGACACGCTTTAAAAATGCACAACAAATATTGCGATTAAAATATAAAACTTGAAACATGCGCGATTAAAAATTTACTAAAATAGGTATTTACGCTCTATTCGTTAAAATTGACACGGATGACCGAATAAAACTCATGCTACATTGCCCGCGAACAGCCGCTCCATTATGAGCTGATTGTGGTAGGTAAACTAACTGCATGCCCTGCCGATGTTGCCAGATGTTTGGGATCTGATTTGTGCGAAAATGATTTTGTGCGGCAACGATAATCGGAAAAATTACCACAAATGCACTTTCTGCGGAAAAGATATTCTGCCCATTTTCGTGTGGCTACTAAATTATGTGCAATCTGCAAAAGAGGGAAATACAGACCTGAGCCTAGAGCGTGGACCACTCTCTCAGGAATCCGCTCGCGGTCGAAGTGGGCAATATGCTGGATGAGAGTCATATCCTCCAGGAGGATTGGTCCCCATTTTCCGACGGTGCGTGAGACGGTGTAGTCCGGAATCGGGGCCCCGTTGTCTTCCTTATAGACATTATAGACATTATTGATTTGCCCCGCCTGAAAGAAACAGAAATTCCGGCCTCGTTGGTAATGGAGATGTTGCATGTGTGAGGGATTTGCGATTTGACCATTAATTCTTATGTAAAAGTTCGCGAGAAACACGATGGTGCCACTGGTTTTCTCTGAAATCAACTCTCAAGCTCAAAAACAGCTCTCAAGTTGAGGCCAAAATGGAGGGGATATCCCACGCTATCCTGAGAGTTCACCTCTACAACGAAACAAACTCTCCATGCAAAGATAGGGAGCAAATACATTAGCAGTGATGCCGTGTTATCATTTTTGGAGTCCCCAAATAAAGTAGCAACCCTGCCAGTGTATTTGCTCCCTATCTTTGCATGGAGAGTTTGTCTTGATGTAGAGGTGGACTCTCAGGGTAGGGTGAGATATCCCCTCCATTTTGGCCTCACTTTGAGAGCTGTTTTTGAGCTTGGGAGTTGATTTCAGAGAAAACCAGTGGCGCCATCGTGTTTCTCGCGAACTTTAACATAAGAATCAATGGTCAAATCGCAAATCCCTCACACATGCAACATCTCCATTGTTTTAGTGCAAAAAGATTATCGAGAAAACCTTAGCTACATGTATTACTTTTGGTGTTGATAAGGAAGAAATAAAAAATGGGCCATTAGAAGCCGTTTTTGAACGAGCGAGTGGTTGTCGATACACAGCTAGGGTGTTCCGAAATTAAACGGATGGACTGCAACGGGTTGATGATTGAAATTGATGGACAAAGAGACAGAAAAAGGAATACAAAGGAAAAATAAAGTAATTCTATTGATGGAGGTGACTGTAATGAATAAAGGAGGTGAGTAAGAGACTACTTAACGGCAACCAACGAAAGCGGCTAGTTCATTATATTCCCCCTTACTTTATAACAACTACCCGCTTCTCAGTCCATCTCGCAAAATGAAAGGGCAAAAGTAGAGGAAATCTGCCTCAGCTTTATAGGCCCTTAACAATTTTTCAATCACACAGAAGTTTTCTACAGTTCTACTTTTCCTGGTAAAAGTTGGCAGTAGAATCTGTGTTCCAAAATACCATAGACCTACAGCCGGCTGTAAGATTTCCAATAGCTTCTATAGCCGGCTACACAATTTCTCATAGCCGATGGCGATTAAGCAACAGCCTGGCGATAAAGTGTATGCTAAACGTTACTAATTACGGATGCTAGGACTTAATGAGTTTTTGGACTACTGCTCTCTTTCTGGGCCGTTGTATCTTGATTTATTTTGCGAGGAAAGCTCCGTACTTTTGATGGATGCCTGCCATTCCTAATATATTAGAGCGCCTTCAGTTTCGTATGATACTGTGCAATACCTCTGGTGTGAAATAGTTGCTTCAAGCGCCGTGGCACGCTTCGGCGCGGCAGGCGGGCAGCCAGTGCGTCGCCGCTCCGCTTTGTGTTAGGCTCTAATGTTTAATCTGGCGGAGTCAGCGTTATTCAACTCACGATTTTGAAATGTTTCCACATCCTGTATGGATTATTCTCATTTTAATTGATGAAAGAAAAAAAATGCATTAAAGGTAAATATAATGTGTGCTTTGTAAATATTAAGGTGGTTCCGTATCAAACTGAATGATTTCCAAAGCACACGAATTTCTGCACAATTTCTTATAGCCTTTTATAATCGATGGCGAGAAAGCAACAGCCAGGCGATAGTGTACAGCCCGGCCATAGGAACTATAGCCCGACTGCATTATTTGTTATCGCTTCGTTTAGCCCGGCCGTATGATTTTCTTCGCATTCTACAGCCAGCTATATGATTTTCTGTAGCCTTCTTTAGCCGGCTGGAATTTTGAAACGCAGCTCTTATCGCCAATTTTTACCAGGGTTGTCAAACACCTTCCCACAAGACTCTACATTGCTCATCTACCTTAACAGTTTTTCTCTGGGTTGGTATGAACGAACGCACGTGAGTAGTTATCATGATTTTAAACAAGGAACAACGCCACTGTTTGAAGCAACTTCCCATGACATCGAAATATCATATAACTCTTCTAGTACACGTAAAAACTGGGATGCTTTTTTTTAAGTCACGAGCTATCTTAGGTAAAACATTGAACTCCTCAAGAGGTACAGAGTTCTGACTTAGTGCTAAAAAAAGGTTGGGTAAAAATAAAAGCAGAGTTTTGATGTATAAAAAAAAACCGACATATACTCACAGCGAGAATGATTCCGTGCACCCAGGCCTCATCTAAAATTAGAAAGAAAACATTGAAATTAAGATAATTTAAATTGTGTCGGTCAAGGCAATAGATCAGTCATATCTTCCTCAGATTATCCTGTAAGCCAGTTATCTTCCACAATCTGACATTAAGATTATTTTATAAAGTCACTATTTCAACATTGATTATATGAAAAACGTCGTTCATTTTATTTCTTTTTGATAATTTTTTTTGCCTTCGCACTGATTTCCCTCATTTGAGACGAATGATTTCAGAAAAATGTGTTCTACCATCAATCGTCATTTGTGATTTAGAGTTACTTAAATTTTAATCTGAGTAATTTATTTTTGAAGCTTTCTCCGGGAAAAATCCTCGTATGCAAAGAGAGATATCCCTCAGTCCCACCGTCGATTTTTCCAAATGCCCAGATTTTTTCTGAATCGTCCACTCTGCACAGTTGAGTGAGTCAACAGGAGATGTCGGACATGATATGGAAACTTTAGCAGCCTTTATCTTCGTCAGTACAAAATGTAGAAGTTTAAACATTGGCTTCATTGATTTCCGCATAAAATTTCCTACAAGAGGCACCCACTTCAATTTATAATATGAAAAGATAAACGTTAACATTTGTAATTTTAGTAAAAATTGTCATGTCCGGTTTCTCTTAAAGGCTTACTCCTCTTTGCGACGCTAGAGATTGGCGTGCGATAAGTACGAACTAAATTGACGGCCGGCAAACACTCTACTATTCTTCCATGCGAAGGAAAAACGCCGTATGAGCCTTCAGGCGTCGCCAAATTTCCCATAATTCAATGCGAATTCCTTGGTAGGCTTCTAAATATTTCTCTTCCAATTTAATAGGAAATTTTGTTCCCAATTTAACCTACATTTTTTGAAAATTTCAAGGAAAAATGGCAATAACTTTCCTCCAAAATAGACATTTTTTCGGAGGAAATTTGGCAACTCTCGAATGTTCATACGGCGTTTTTCCTTAGCATGACAGTAATAATAGGTGAATTTTACATAACTTTGCTTGGTAAGATTTTCTTTTCCCTAACATTTTACTTCATTAAGGCACCATGTTTATTTTACATTTTAGACTTCAGCGTCCTGATATAGGTATTATTGCTTTGAGCAGAGGGAGCATTTGCATTGGTGAATCTAGTAAATTGGCAACATTGACTTCTCTCCATTTAAACCTATGGAAATGTATCGATCCTTGGAGGGACCAAGTGCTCTGACAGGAATTGATTATTCAGGGTAGGTTTAAACGGAGGAAATCCGGTGTTGCCAAATTACTGGATCCGCCCCTGAGCATATCTGAGAATTAAGATGAGTGAATATGGTCAGGTAACTTACGGATGACGACTAATCTCACCACGAAATCGATCAAACCTCTCATACTCAAGCTACGGCACATAGCTGTAGATGTTTCAGATGCAGGAAAACGGAGAGTTCAGGTACTCATTAGATCTTCGATGTTGGCGCGTTGACATTAATTTATCTGTGAATGAAAACGGCAATTTTCATGAAATTGCACCTCGTTGTGGAGACTTTGGAGGAAAAGATACGTCCACATAAACCATACTTGATGGTCGAACCACGAAATCATGAGTTTCTGTGTGTATCGTTGCAGATTGTTTGTCTCTTCACAAATCGTGAATCGTGAATAGTGAAATCATGAATCATAATCTTCAGAAATTGTGAATCACAATCTTCAGAAATCGTGAGATTTTTTTCTACCTTTTCAAGAATTTTCGGAAAAATTTTATCAGAGAAATGCATTCAGTATTGAAGGACGGAGAATCAGAGGAGTTTAATTATATTGCAATGTTGTGAAGTTTTATCCGATTTATTTATTTATTTACTGGGCGAATGTCTGATGTTGAAAATTTCAGGAACGCTCAAAGAAAATTTACAGTAAATTAAGTATGAACGCAAATTTACATTTTTTATCGAGTACATTAATAAATTGTCAGCAATCGAAATTTCGCAATGTAATTAAACCCGTGCTCCAGCTTTACCGCTCCAACTCCTTATCTCTATTCGTAAAATAATTTGGTAAGACCAAAAATGTTCATAATCCGCGATCGATAAATGTACTCTTAAAGTTTCGTTGTCACTCTAACGGCTTTTTAACGGCTTTCACGGCTCTAATGTGTAAAAACTCAACGAAAACTTCAGGCGATAAAAAGTTTATGACCGTAAATCAAAATTCGCGACCCATCAGAAAATTCATGGTTCAATTAGCAAAATTAAGTACGGCGAGGCAAGCTAATGACGCATTTTTCATACATGGATAAGTGTGACTGCTTTCACGCATTTACCGGAGGAAATATAATCAGTTTTAGTGCAGTTTGACCTACTTCCATATCGATGGCCTCCGTAAAAAATACGACCTCGCTTAGTAACTTCCAAAAATTCCAATGGGGCCGTTCAAATATTACGTAAGTAGCTCAGAGAGAGGGTGTTTGAACTTGCCTTACCGAGTCTTAAACGGGGAGGGGGGAGGGGGGGGGTCAAGTTCAGTCTTATGTAAGCATCCATCAGTAAAAGAACTATAATATGGTTCGATAAAACATTTTTTTCATGTAATTTTTAGATTTTTTACGTAAAGACATGTTTCGAGTTTTACTTTTTCATGTGATTTTCATATTTTCTCCGTTATTTTTTTTAAAAATTGGGGGAGAGCCCGGTTAATCCTACATAATTTATGGNGGGGGGGGGGGGGGGGGGTTCAAATAGTCGGCAAGAATGTCTTACGCACAATTTAGACGGCCCCTTCACTCCCACTCCATTCGAACAAAGTCAACTCACGTGCACTTTTGGAGCTTTTAGCATACTTTTATCCTTCATAGGAGATACATCAATTGTTTAAAAAATTTGGCATCGTTCCCCACGTAACAATAGAATAAGTCAGGACGTTAAGATTAAGGTGTTAGAAGCCGTGTAACCATTTGAAATGCTCTAATTGCGCGTGTTGCAGAAGCGAGTTTTGACTTTTGCAGCATAAAAATTGGCAAAACGTAAATAAATCTATTCAAACGACAAGCCATTACTAACCTTGGTCTGACCGATGCGGTTCTTCCTATACCAGAAGATTTGAAAAAAACACATATCAGAGGAGAAACTACTAAATCACGTTTCGCAATTTTTTCGGTATTGAATTATAAATAATTCGTAGGAAATGTGTTCCACTAGTCATCAAGATGTTTTAGTCAACGAAAATCTGGAAGTTACCAAAAAGCGTAATCCTATTCCCACGTATCTCTCCGCTAATTCGCAAATGTTTTTCCTCGTGTGAATCCATGAGCTGCATAGATAACCAATGTTCATGTTAATAGAGTCGTCAAACATAGAGTTGCGTCAGTGCTACCTGAACCTACTACCTCACAGCGCCGCTTGCGACGTGCGCCGTGCACCTTGCGAATGCTTCTTGAGTTATCCGTCAAAAACAAAGCCAAATATATAAATAATAGATTTTTTGGAATAAACCGATTGGGATTTTTTGTGTGGATAAAGTAGCAACTTTCATCAATTTAAATTTAACCACGCTGATCTTCACAACTTTTTGTTTGGGCCTGCGTTATCCTAAAATTATGCGAGAATCTGGGTTAGGCCCTTCATTCTAAAGAAATGTAGACGATACCTCGAAATAATGTGTTGAACACAAAAAAAAGCGTTTCAAAACAAGTGTCCAAGAAACGCTCAATACTCGAAGCAGAAATGCACGTACTCAGAATTTTTTATTTGTTTTCCAAACCAAATGGGATTTCCAAAATATGGAGTTCGTTAGTTCTACCATCGATGTGTGCATGGTAGCCTGGGACTCCTATTATGTAGGTCAGATGGGAGCGCATTAGAAATCGGAAGAAGAAAACGGGGAAAAAGAAGAGAAAAAAGAAGATAAAGAAGGGGAGAAAATATGAGGAGGATTGAGAAAAAAAGGATAAAAAGATGTATACGAGATGATAACAAGATGGATTTATGGAATTGTTTTTCTTCATTCTCTCTTTCGTCCTCTTTTCTCCCCTTCCTCCTCTTTTCCTACCTTTCCTCCTTCTCCTTTCCTTTTCAAATCTTCATCCCCAGATTTCTAATTCTAATTTGAAAAAGTATTACTTTTGATTCTTGAGTTACTGTTGCTGATAAAGAGCAAAGAACCAAGAGCAAGAGAAGCACACACATTCCGAAGTAAGCAACTATTCCCCAGAGTCAGCTCATTTTTGCGTATCCATAGAATTGAAGGCAAATAATGAAAGTTTTCGTCCATCAGTATCTCCTGTTCATAACTTTAAAACTTTTATCCAGAAATCGGTATCTTTAAATTTGGCAAGGGTTTGTATTTTTTCGTTTGCGATCACCAGTATTGATTGACTTTTTTATGTACAGGCAAAAAATAATGAAAGTTAATGAGACACACGATTTAAATCTTACAGTTCTGAGAAATTTCGAGAAAATTAATTATTTTGAGAGCAAGTACATAATTTTTGAAGCCCCCTTATTCGAAAAAGTTATGACTAAAGTCTTGAAGTACGTTCCTCAACTCGCGATGTTGCAGATTTCTTGTCATATTTTATAGGATCCAAGGAAATCTGATAGACATTTTCTCCTGGAATTTTTACCGAGTTTTTTTGTATCTTGTGCAGGATGCTTAATGAAACTTTAGTTTGATAACAGTAATGCTATTTAATTTTACTTCTAATAAAAATAAAGTAAACAAAACAACAACAAACATTTTGAGGCGTTGCACAACGGAGCGGGCCAACAGGAGAGGTCGGACCTGAAATTTTGGACTAAAACTTCATATTTTGATGGTTATTTTGTCATACATATTATACATTTTAAGGAGAGGGTCTGAAAGGAAAGCTTACGAGAAATCCTATCAAACAATTTTTTACATTTCCGAGTTACCTTTTAACGAAGATATGAGCTTTTAGAGTTTTCACCTTATGTCCGAATTTTCCAGTTGACTCGTTCAACTTTCGTACCTAATAGAAATAAAAGTTCCTCGACTTACAATAGCAATGATCTTCCTCTAGTTGCTCTCACGTGTATGAATAGAGATTCGATAAAGCACGGCTCCTTCTCTATGTTTCTTTACCTCTGAGGAATTATTTTTACCTTCTCCTCCGTAAGATGCGTGGAAATGGAGATTCGGATTAAAGCAACGAATAGATACATAAACGCTGAATTTTGTCGTATCGCATCGGAATTATTGCGTTTTCTAAATTTCATCTTAAATTATACAATTTTCATTTTCTCCGAGTTGGGCAGTTTTTGAGCAGGGAAACATTCTAATGAGCTTATACCTCGAGGTTTGCTTACTTCCGACTATTTCATATGAACTGTTCGACGAAACCTCTAAAATTAAGGTAAGTAGAAACGAAGGTATCTTTTCCCCCATTCAATCACCCAAAATTGACAGAACGCTTATTAGTCGCGTTGGTTTCGTTCCAGTTCTGGTGGAAAGTTTGTAAGAGGGTTCCATCTCTGCATTATTCGATTGTCATTGGTCCTCTTTTCCCGAAAGCGAGTTCCAGTTCTGCAATATTCAATTCTTATTGGTCATCTTTTCTCCACGGGCAAATGTCCTGTCAAGAATGGAAAGAAACCAACGCGACCGAGCTGTTTCGGGTAGTCTGTATCAGTGCTCCCATTTTCCGGAACTAGTACCGAATGTCGGAGCTTTTGAGATTTTCCTTAATTTTTTCTGGAACTTTTGAAATTTCAGACATGCTCCGATTGTTTGCATTTTCCGGCACTTTCTCGGAACTTTTGGAACATTTTTAAAAGAATCCCGGAACTTTTGAAATTCTCGCAATTTTCCGGATCTTTTGCATTTTCCGGCTCTTTCTTGGACCTTTCGAAAAAACCTTAAAAGAATCCCGGAACTTTTGAGGGTCATGGAGTGCGAGAAATCGAAACATAAAAGTTCCGGATTCCGGAGCTTTTGACGGTCATGGAATGGGAGCACCAGAGCATACCCGCGTTTTATTTACCCTACTCTAAAACCAACTTATGTCGGAATTATTTTGAAGTTTCTCAAAATTTCCGATGAAGCGACTGCGCGGGGCGTAGGGCGGAAGCAGGACACATTACTCAAGAGAACGATAAGCGATTATTACCTGGGGCGCGCAGGTCATGCGGAGCCAAGGAAAGGAGTCCCGCGATTGAAGCAGGAGCCACCCGACACCCGACTGCCGACAGCTGGTGGACGCACGAAACACTTTCCCGCCTGCCCCAAGACGTAATTACGCGATTATTTACCTACATGATTGCCCCCAAATCCCGCATGCCAAATAAGCGGCGAATCCTATCGAAACCACAAATACGAGTTGTTTACACAATTGCAACATCAACGCAAATTGGCTCATTGAGAGCGCTCAATTATTTAAACGCTCTCGCGAAGAGGGGGTTCAAGCGCGTAGAAAGGGCTGCGCTGAAGCAGTGAATCACGGGACTTGAAATTAATTATCTCAGTGTGTGACTCATTTCAGAGAAAAGAAGCCTCAGGCGGAAAAAACAATAAAAAACAAAAAGAAAAAAAAACAAAAAAAAAATAAAAAATAAAACGAAATAAACAAAAAACAATGAAAAGCAAAAAAAAACTAAAAAAAACTAAACGAAAAACAAAACAAACAAAAAACAAAAAAACAATGAAAAAAAAAACAAAAAATACAAAGAAAGTCACAAAAAAGCATTAAAAAAAACCCACAAAAACTCCGGCTCTGAACTTCTTCATCACGGGCTTCATCCGGTTCATGATTCAGAGGGTCCGGGTCTGATCCAAAACTAACGGCCTCCAGATCTGAAATGGACGGCACCATGTCTTTACGGTTTGTAATACGGGCACAACGTTTAGAGCTGGAGTTTCTTTCTCACTGCCTTTGTCCACAAAAATTCAAAATCGAATTATTACCATGAGTGAATACGTGAATGTTCTCACAACGAAGTTTCCTGTTAGTTAAACCTGTTAGTTTAACGGAGTTAAACCTGCACCGTGTTAGGCGCAATGCGTGAAATATTCCAACAGTCTTGTAGGCGCTATGCGTTTCACGCTGACCGCACTGTGTTTGGCGTAATGCGTTAAGTATTCACGCTTTCTTGTAGGCGCTATCCATTTCACGCTGACCGCAGTGACCGCACTATGTTTGATGCAATGCGTGAAGTATTCGTGCAGTCTTGTAGGCGCTAATATGTGTTACATGCCGATTGATCGCCGCGCCGAGGCTTCTCCTTTTCATCTGAAGTCCTCGTCATCATTTCTCTCCAAGTCGCGCCGTTCCAGGCCAAATTGCGTGTTTGGTTTCTCTCTTAACTCGAATAATTAAAGGTGCTGTCACTTGTATCACTGAAAGACGACAAAATTAGAAATTACTATACTCTCAGGAAATGAGAGATTTAGTCGCCTTTTTTCGTTTATAATTTTTTTTCTAAATCCGATTTTTTTTTATACCTACATTTCAAAAAATTGCAAGATTTGCCGCCATGGGCCGCAGTCCATGTGGCCGCCCCCTAGATTTGCCGCCATGGGCCGCCAGTTGGCAACACTGTCTTAAAGTCTTGATAATGAGTCGAATGTTAATAATACCTAGGTACCAGAATGTGCTAAACATTGTGTGTTTTCGCTACTGCTTGGGCGAGGCGAGAATAAGAAAGATGATGACAAGCAGCGTCACGGAAACTCAGAAACACATTTCTAAATGACTAATTATCTGCACCTAGATGTTATCCCATCGACATCAATGCAGTTCAAGGCAGGTTGAACTGTCAACAAACTTGTTTTGCCCGTGAGGACTCCAGCAAACTATGAAATGAACTGATGTTGTCTCAGATCTGTGATGGCTGTAAAAAGGAAAAATTTAAAAAGTTAAGACAGAAGGCCGAGCTTTCCTTTTTCCATTCGATTTTGATTCGGTATCTGGGTTCTGGGCGCGTGTAAAGTCACTTCCAGGCCACACTTTTTCATTTTCATGGGTGAGAATAAAAAAAAATAGGAGGTTTTACACGTACTTTTAGATATGCTCGCTATTTTCTCCTGAGACTTGTCGAGATGGTTTTAAAAAAATCTTTCCTCTAAGTACGCAATAGAGTAAAATTAGCCGTTCCAGGCGGCCTACGGCAGCCCATCACGAGTATTTGGGCCTCAAATCATTCCTTATCACGAGTTCGAAAGAATAATATGAGTTAAAACTAATGGACCATAAACAGTCAAAAAATATTCGGAGATTATATTCGAATTGAGCGGCTTTTTTTTTCTCTCCAAAAGAAAGCCGTAAAATAGGTTTTCTATTTCAGGGTGTTTCATCATATTTAGGAAAAAACTAGACGCGGCCTACATTTCAGGGAGGGAAAGAGCAGCACATTATAATTTTTACCTATATACTTACCACACTTTATGGTGCTATACTTTCACCATTGCACATTGGAAATCATAATAATATAATCTATATTTAGGCTTGTGATGTTAAAGATCTTCTGTCGCGTTTCATTTCGTCGTAAGACGAAATGTCATAGTTTTTGTTCCAAATTCCTTGCGACTCATCAGAATTATTCTATGAAAATTTCTCACTACCTAAAACTTAAAAATTAGTTTTCCCGAAGGATAAAAAAAAAAAAAAAAAAAAAAAAAAAAAAAAAAAAAAAAAAAAAAAAAAAATTCGAACAAGGGACGAACTATGAGGTAGGATAAAGGTTCCCATACGTATCATGCTGAGACACTCACCTCATTTTTTAAGATTTCGAGGGCTGAAAACGCTGTAATAAATTTAAATGATGCATTTCTCGGAAAATTGACAATGTCGCGATAAAAATCAGTTTCGGTTTACTTCATGAGCACAATAGGCAACGCTGGAATTAAGTTAAGTTGTAAGGGGGAAAAATCAGATCTTCAGGTAGTGTCGCGTGCGAATTTCATCATAACGCCTGGATGCAACTATTCGAGCTCTGCGGATGTCTGCGTTGCATACGCACTGGATTGAAGGCGTTTTGATTTCAGACAATAATCGCATCACCAGCGGCACTCGGTGGAGCGAGTCAATGAGAGAAGTCACTCAGAGGAAACATTAAGGACTCATTTCAATTTTAATACGGGACGTTGAGGTTTTAGAGGTGATTTCATCGATTTTATTGTAAAATTTTCTGCAATAGGCACACCACACCATACGGTTCATAATGTGAAGAAATTTGCAGTTTTAGTCGAAATGTCAGGTCCGATCTGTCTAAAAGGCTCCATTATTGTGCGGCGGGCTTCACTGCAAGGATCTGAAATGACAAGAGGGCCTCTCATTCTTCATGTGAACTTCAAAGACATCTCTTAGGCATGACTAAATGCTCTACAGATCATGTTCAGTACATCGCGATATTAAAACTGAAGCACTTGCCTAGTCGTGCCTCGCACATTATCCTTATAGTACAGAAATGAATTGAAAGCGCTCCACCGTTTTGGATCCTCGCGGTGAAGCCCGCCATTGGCGCCGCGGGTGAAGCGGTGAGTGCCTGGGCAGTCAAAACGCCTTCACTCCAGTGCGTATGCAACGCAGATATCCGCAGAGTTCGAATAGTTGTATCTAGGAGTTAGAATGAAATATGTACGGCGTCCGTCACATTTATCACTAACTAAAGGAGCTTCGCTTGTATCACACTGTGACTTGATTCCGGTAACTAGTAAGTACTGATTTTTATTGGGACATTGTTAATTTTCCAAATAATGCTTTGATTGTTTGAATATTGTATAATAACGTTGCCTTTCTAAAATGTGGGCTGCGGCTCCTACTATCTCTGATTTAAGAACGAAGAATGGAAGAAAGTCTTTTTACGGTTACTTCAGGAAAAAGAGCTTGATGCAGAAACGGCTTTTTTCGCCCCCCCTCTGGAAGTTCTTCAGACTTTGTCTATTGATTACTCATACTTGAGCGCTTCTTTTCCTAAATTTTCAGACCCCCAAAAAATTTCTGGGGGGAGCTAGGGGGGGTGGAAGTCAAAACCTGTGAACCTCGATATCTCTTGAACAAAGAAAGATATTGAGGTCCGGTTTGGACGAAAAATCGTCTAAAATTGCGTACTTTAAGATTCTACAGGTCGAAATCCCGATATCTCATTTTTAAGTTAACATATGTGCTTTTTTCCAGTTTTTAGGTCAAGAAAATTTCTTTTAAACGAAAAATTGACAAAGATCTCAATTTTTTATTTGAACCAAAACCAGTTTTTTAAATTGTTCGTCTTTTTCCGCATCCAACGAGTGGTCGTATAAGCTGGGGAACCGAACGGTTCCGGAGTTATGATCGATTGAAGTTTCCGCTCAACGCGCGCCGACCGATTTTCGCGCGCAAAAAAGTTGGATTTGACTGTTATTAGATCAGATTGAATGTTCAAACTGAGCAAAATGCTTTATTAGGGACTCTTGAGGGTCGCTGAGTTCAGAAATTACAGATACTTCCAAATAATTTACGTTTTTAAAATTACAGCTCCGCAGCGCTATTTTAGAGGCCCACTGAGCGCCGACCGGCCGCTCAGTGGTCCTGTCCGAAGCTGCAATTTTAAAAATGTGAATTTTTTGGAAGTATCGGTAATTTCTGAACTCAGCGACCCTCAAGAGTCCCTAATAAAGCATTTTGCTCAGTTTGAACATTCAATCTGATCTAATAACAGTCAAATCCGACTTTTTTGCGCGCGAAAATCGGTCGGCGCGCGTTGAGCGGAAACTTCAATCGATCATAACTCCGGAACCGTTCGGTTCCCCAGCTTATACGACCACTCGTTGGATGCGGAAAAAGACGAACAATTTAAAAAACTGGTTTTGGTTCAAATAAAAAATTGAGATCTTTGTCAATTTTTCGTTTAAAAGAAATTTTCTTGACCTAAAAACTGGAAAAAAGCACATATGTTAACTTAAAAATGAGATATCGGGATTTCGACCTGTAGAATCTTAAAGTATGCAATTTTAGACGATTTTTCGTCCAAACCGGACCTCAATATCTTTCTTTGTTCAAGAGATATCGAGGTTCACAGGTTTTGACTTCCACCCCCCCTAGCTCCCCCCAGAAATTTTTTGGGGGTCTGAAAATTTAGGAAAAGAAGCGCTCAAGTATGAGTAATCAATAGACTAAGTCTGAAGAACTTCCAGAGGGGGGGCGAAAAAAGCCGTTTTTGCATCAAGCTCTTTGCGAGCGCACCTGTTCAACATATTGGTATTTTTTTTTCGCTGAGGAGTTAGAAAAAGTCCAGTCTGAAATGTGAATCAATCTACGGTAAGTCCAGAGTCCGGTGCGGCAAGACTCAAAGCTTGCAGAAAATATGTCTTACTTTACTGATTGCTTCAGGACCATCGAATAAGAGCACCAGTGGACTGAATTCATGGAAAAAACGGATCAATGATGAAGTGTCTAAAGGAGGCCGGCTTACAGTTCTTGCATAAAACCCTAGGCATTGACAAAAATTTAGTAAATATTTCTTCTCAAGTTTTTTTTGTATTAAGTATAAGGTATTTTAGCTTTTAAACAACCTTCACAAACGTAGTCATTAAAATGTTTACATCCAAGCCTGAGGAAGCCCATCCCCTAGAAAATAGGATTGGTCGAAGTGGCGCTCCGCTTAATGAGACTGCAAGTGGATTTCATGAGGCCTTAAATATATCATGAAGCAACTGGAGAAATTTTGACGACTCTAGTCAATGGATAAGTTACATAACTTCATAGAATATTGCAGCCAAGTTCTTAAACAGGACATAATGCACATAATAGTAGAAATTAGGCTGAAATAATCTCAAATTTTTACAATAAAAGAGGGAAATATTACTGGAATGTTTCGGGAGAGTTGTGGTAGCTTTATCATCATATTTGGGTCTTGCTTTGATGAAGTATTTTATTGAAATGAAATGAACCCTCATTTTAGCTAGATATGGTAAAACTCATCAAAATTGACCAAAAAAGGTGGGCACACTTCAGCTCATTTTAAGTACCCGCAAAGTAAATTTAAGATAAAATCTTTTTGGAGCTTTGATAATGAGCTTCAGGGGTACTTTTAAACTGGCTCGATTCTTCATTGGACCATGCCACGAAAGAGGATGAACACTGAACAGCTCATGCTACCTAAACTGGCATTGGCAACAATATGTTGTACCGTAATGATTTTTTTCACAGTTCATTTTTTTAAATTGATTTGCAACTGCATCGCTCGATTGGTAACATGTTTTTGGTGGATTATAGAGGTGCCCAAATTGCAAGATTATTCTTCTGGTACCACTAACTATCTTCCTTCATTATATTTTCTTTCAAGATTTACACAAGGAGATGTTTTTGGAGAAATTAGAAAATACAATTGACACTCTGCACTGGAAATTTATTCAAGATTAACACAGTAATCAAACAAAAAATAGAAAGAGCAAACAATGTTTAAGTGAGTACCTTTTTATACATGTTAACAGGTAAAATGCAAAGTTACAAAAGTGAGTATCAGAGAATGTAGAGATCAATGTGACCGCAGAGAAACAGCTTGACAATCTTTTCTCCATGAAGAAATTTCAATATGCTTTGGGCAGAAATCATTGGATAGGAGAATTAATTGTTTAAAAGATGGGGTACAAGAGTGGGGTGATGCAAAAGCTGAAGTAGAATATTCAAGATGGTGCGAAGGAGACAAATTAAATGCGATGACTTGATACAATAGTGACATTCAAAATCTACTTAAAAAGAGACATTTAATGATATTTCTTCATCCTGAGATACTGTTATAATGGCTCATGAAACCAGTGACTACCAAAGAAGATTCTTGGTCAAACCATAGCTCACAAACCATTTCAGAAAAAAATATTGATTTTAACAAAAATTAGATATGAAGCCAATTTAGTCTGACCAAAATACCATTTTGCAACATTGTTAACTGAAAGATTTGTATGAATTGAAAAATTGCTTACAGATTGTAACTTCTAAATACAGATTTTATGGCTGGATCTGACAATGCTTTAATATTCATGATAAATTAAGAATAAAAATATGTAATACGAAATATTTAGAGGGTCAGTTATGACCTTATGATTCAGATTCTAAATTAGACAGATCTCACCACAGTTTATTCTGCACTTAATTTAACGGTTTCATCTTGCCCAGATTTGATCAGGATTTGAAAGCTGTCCCAGTGAATTTTAAACATATTTTTATAATCCTACTTCAACCTTAACACTTTGTTTTCCAATTCATGTGGTTAGAGTCAAGTATCTTCTGTGGAGGTCAAAAATTAAACAGCACAAGAGTGTTTTTTGGATAAATATGAAAAGAAAACAAAAGAGACCCTGATATGTTCATGGTTCCAGTTCTTAATATTACTTTGGTACTATTGAACGTCCAATAAGACAAGGTGCTTTTATCAATTTCAAAATTTTACTTTTCATTTTCATTGATTTAAAAACCCCGATTAATAACTTTTTCTGCAGCCCATTTTACAACAAAAATAAGAAGAAAAAAGCTGCTGCCACAACAGGGGGCAAGAGGTTCACAGATGAATGAGGTACAATGTAACAAACTTCTCTGTAGTTTGCAAGGATTCATTTAAAATTGTTCTCATCTCTCTTGATTGATAGAATTATGACACAAAACTTTGGCGTCCCATCCAGCAGAGTAGAGGTTTTGAGTTTTGGGGTGCCACGCTAATCCATGGATGAAGTCTTCATGCCTGGTGTCTTCGTAGCTAGAAGAGAAAATGAGAGATTTATATAGTGAGCATAAGAGTTTGAAAATTTCAATTTTTAGGGTTCGATTCTTGACAAGTTTTAAAACAAAAGTGTAATGAAAAAATCTACATTGCAATTGAAGATTCAATATCAACCTTTACATATTTCAAAATAAGTTCTCTAGACAAATATTTGCAATCTTTTTATCTTTTAAAATGTCCTTTGTTAAATTTTGTACTTTTTTTGCTGAAATTTTTGATTACTTTACAGATAATTTTTAGAGCTATTAACCAAAGGAGTCATTTTGTGACAAGCCTTGGATCAAAACTTTAATTTTAAATAAAGGAAAAAATACTTACACACACACAGCACTGTCGGAAGAGACATCAAATACTTTCAAGATATGAGTATCACCGCCAACTGCCAAAAATCTAAAGAAATAAAAATTACAAGAGATTAATAAGCTTGACTGTAGATGTGCATCAGTAAATTTATATTAACCTCAATTTCAGAAAGGTCTTTTTTGAAGAATTTAGATAGTTTGTCTGTTTTCATGTCCAAAGCATGTTATGAGAGACATCATAGACATTTATAGACAGAGGGATGTCAGAGCAGTGTTCATACATGTTATTTAAATTTGACTGAACTGGATTCCAAAAGTGGGGGCCAAAATCCAGAACTGTAAAACTCTACTAGGCGATACTTCTATTTCCAAAAACATGAAATTGCCCATCATTCTATTGGCAGTAATGTTGCTGATGGATGTATGTACCACAAATGAAGGAAGAAGTATGGGTAATAGGGGCTTAAATTCAGTAAAAATGTTTCCTCTGATAAAATACACTAAGGAAATAATTTCTTGTCAGAAAAAATTATACAGTTTACCTTCTATCATTTGATGGGAGAATTCGATGAATTGTTCGGTCATAACAAGGATGAGAGGTGATGAGTTTGTTTCTGACATCTAGAAATTTCAAAGTCCCCCAACTTGTTCCAATGATCACTTCATTATTATTTCGCCATGAGACAGCTGTGAGACTACAGGAAGCATCATCGAGAATTACTGAAAAAAAAGAGGCAAAAAGTCAATCATAAAAACTATCACATGTAGAACATTTTTACCAATAAAAAATTAATTCATTTGCATTAAAAATACACTAGCTCAACGTTCTATCATTGAAATATGCTGTTTTGAGTACATTTATTTGTTGAAATTATCCTGAAAATATCAAAAAAAAAAAAAAAATGTGCAATTGATATGCAAAAAGCCTTGTCGATCATTTTTTACTGTTTGCACTGCAAAAATTTAAGATGATGTCTTTAGCCAAAATTGCTCACATAGGAGGAACATGAGATAATTCTCACAACACCCTAATTTTTTGTACAACTTTTGCAGCTAATTACAGATAAATATGGATATTGTAAGCTCAGACTTACTTGAAAGGTCAGTATAGTTATTGTTATGAACATCTTGCTTACCTGAGGCAGGTTTCGGCTGCCTAAAATCCCATAATATGGCTGAGCCATCAAGTGAGCAGGACACACATATGTTATTACTGTCTTCAATACTTGTTGCAACAGACATCACAGATTGTGTGTGGGCATACTTGTAGCGGTGCTCAACTTCTAGTTTGTCAACTTTCCATTTGATGATACTGAAAAAGATTAAAATTATGATTTTTAAGACTATCTTTTAAAGAAAATGCAATGAAAGCACAATGAAAAACTCGATATAGGGTTTAAGACTTCTGTACAACGTGTCACCCTTCAATTCAGTGGAAAAGTCCTCTTAGCTCTTAAAATTGTTAATTTGAAGGCACAAGAAATTCAAACTGCAGATTTTAAGAATCCTCATGAAAATCTTTCTTTTGTTCCCCAGCCTTTAATTACTTCTTTAGTTCTCTGAATGTTATTGGCTACTACAAATTGACTAATATTGATATCTACTGGACCATGTTCTTATTTAATTTTCCATTCTAATTTTAGTAAAAATAGAGGGGCAAATTTTTAAAGGCTCAAAAGGAGATTGGCTGCAAATAACGAGAGAATAGAATAGTTACTTAATGGCTAAATGCAAAAAATGCATTTCTTGATTGAATCATTTGGAAAACTCGAATAAGGTCTGTTTCAATCTCTTCAAAGAACATTGCTCGGAACGTTTCCTGGCAATTTTTTTTAGAACAATCGAAGAAAATTCACAAAAAATCTTGATGGAAACTGTTGTTTGATTTTCCTTGATAAAGATAAAGAATAAGCAGAGACTTACAGCACAATCTGAGTTACACATTTTTGGCTTTGCTCAGCGATATTTTATATTTATCGACAATTGCAAAAAGCTTACTTGGTGTTGCACAAACTTTGTGCCACAAAAATACTCGGAACTCTCCTGGAAGAACTGGTAAAAGCACACAAGCATTTTTACATATTTCATAAATTAATTTGAGTTATGGAAGTGAACTCCAAAGCTATTACCTTAGAGTTTTACAAATTCTTGATACCTAATGTAATTTATTTGACTTCAGGAGGCCCGGAAAATCACAAGAAAATTCTTTTGAGTTAAAGCTTATCAATCTCTGAAAATTGCTCAAATCCTTTTCTAAATGAAAATATTGAAAACAGAAATTGAGTAGTTGTGAAACAATTCGGTTTTTCCTTTCATTTTGTTTAGTTGAAAAAAGAGTTTTACCTGCAATCACTGCTGGCACTGACAACTGCTGATTTATCAGCAGACACAGCCAAGGAAAGGACCATGTCATCATGCTCAAGCGCTGAGACCTCCGGGCGAAATAAGAACTCATGCTCTTTTTCTGATTCAGTTAGACACAAGACTGTAATTTCTCCATCATCTTTTCCAAAGATGACCTAGGAAGGTAATTCATGAAATGATTTAGAACTATCTATCAAAAATAATTAGCCAACCTAAATTGTTTAAGAGCAAGAGTACTTTAATTGTTATTTATGAGGTTCCAGATTTGATCACTGAAGGAGACAAATGTATTGGGAGACTCAAAAATGTGGCATCCGCAATCCAGATAATTATTTTCACAGAATTAAAAATCCATTCAAATGACCGTTTCAGTTTAGAATGGCTCTTTGCGGAAAGGTTTAAACCAATTCTGTTAAGAGGGTGGATTCGGAAAGTAAGATACCGAAGAGGGAAATTCAGAGGATATACAGGGAAAGACTGTGTGTGGGGGAGGATATTAAGGTATACATTTTTTTCCCTTTTTCTTTTTTGGTTGCGGAGCGACTAATATAGTTAAGATTTATTTACCTGTTTCCTTTCTAGTCTCAGGAAGGCTCTGATGATACTAAATACATGAGGGAAGGATGACAGCTTTTTACATAGGCTGTCCCAAAACAACTGGCACTAAGGCTGCCATTCGGGAACTACAATAGCTATCAATGTGCGGTTTGCAGGAGGTGATAGCTCATACTCTTAGCTCTTAAACGAGCCTAAGTTGAGCTAGTTTGGTTAAAAACTCAACGAGTTACATCAATTTTCCCGAGACATGTAAGAAATACCCCTACGGATTTTTCGGTAATTTTTCATTCCGTTAACTTTGCCTCCGCAAGCTGTACAATTGGTTCAGACGTTATGAATCAAGTTCCCACTTGTCTGGATGCAACTTTGAACTGGTCAGCAAGTGTTTTCATCACAGCCGAGAAGTTTTTTTCTGTTTGCAAAGTCAGTCTAGTGAAATTGTCCGGCCTGATAACGCGTTTTTTGGTGTTTCGTCATGAGTTCACCCGCGGAGTTGAAGCAAGACCAGCGATACGCAATTCGATATTGCGTTCGTCGTGAATTATCTGCTTCTGAAACACTTCTGAACCACTGTCATTTTATTCACAGTTTCAGAGACCGATAATTCACGACGAACGCAATATCGAATTGCGTATCGCTGGTCTTGCTTCAACTCCGCGGGTGAACTCATGACGAAACACCAAAAAACGCGTTATCAGGCCGGACAATTTCACTAGACTGACTTTGCAAACAGAAAAAAACTTCTCGGCTGTGATGAAAACACTTGCTGACCAGTTCAAAGTTGCATCCAGACAAGTGGGAACTTGATTCATAACGTCTGAACCAATTGTACAGCTTGCGGAGGCAAAGTTAACGGAATGAAAAATTACCGAAAAATCCGTAGGGGTATTTCTTACATGTCTCGGGAAAATTGATGTAACTCGTTGAGTTTTTAACCAAACTAGCTCAACTTAGGCTCGTTTAAGAGCTAAGAGTATGAGCTATCACCTCCTGCAAACCGCATATCGATATCTATTGTAGTTCCCGAATGACAGCCTTAGTGCCAGTTGTTTTGGGACAGCCTATGTAGATTTGTGTTTTCAATATTGATTGTGATTCCCTAATTGTGTTATCTTGGAGAAGTATTCAGCCCCACTTTTTGTTCCTTTGAAGAAATAAGATATTAGAGGGGTATGGTATGATATGGTATGATAAGTACCATGATATGGATAGATAAGGAAAAGACCACAATATTCTGGCTGTTCAGGAGCACCGAGAAAATTATGTTCTTACAATACTTAATGGGGCCGATAAGATTACATCCAACATCCATCCAGTGATAATGTGTCTGACATAGATATTGATCTACCTGTGGCTCAGTTTTCTCACTTGAAAATATTTGATCCTTGCTTATTTCCCCGTTTTAACAAATGAATGGCTAAAAGTTCAAATTCTCTATCGCAAATATTGGCAAAGAGAGTTACTTGCTGAGGTAGCAAAATTACCCAATTGGCTCTTAAGTGTTGAGGCGGCGCAATGGTTTAGAACTTTGCAAAGTGATGGTGACCATTGATATTCAAAATCAAATTTTCCTGCTCCATCCTCCAAAAAAATTCAATTTTCTGTGTACTGACTAAATTTTGTTGAAAGAGGAATATACTTACAGATTGTGAGACATCTGAGAGAATTTTGCCGTCATTAATGCCAGCTTTACAGTCAAACCCAGTTAGATACTTTTCTTCCCGGGGAGCATCATCCACGTTCATGTAATACCATATTGATCCTGTCCAATACCTTGAATTGAGGTTACTCTTGCCGAGAATAGCCCATCCATCTGAAAAATAAAATGAAAAAAGTATTAGTACAGGGTAAGTACTCAGCTGATGTCAGGATTCCAGCGTAGAGGATTTTACAACACCTTGATTAGGAGCAACTTTCTTGCAGAAGGATTGTGTGCATCTTCCGCAGCAAGCAAGCAAGCCTTGCCTTTTAGCCTAATGAAGAATTTGAAATTTTTGAATTCGGGCATAGAGGAATGACTCAAAGCCTCTTTCATCGGAAAACCCACTGGCGAGGAATTGTCTGCACTCTGCAGTCTCTTGAGAAAGAAACCCTCGAGAGGAGACAGATACTCCTTGGGTCATCAGACATTTGACCAGGCTGGCGGAGTGAGGAGACCCTTTCATTTTCCCTGTTTACCATTGTTTCGATCAGAAAAAGGGATTGACCTTCTATTTGATCTAGAGGAAACCTTACGTCGAGGTTGCAGTCAGTTCTTCTTCTATGAGTTGCCTTGTGAGTGAGGTATTCGGTTGAATACTCATCCCAGAATCAATTTGCCTTACAGGTTTCTCCTCAGACCCCAATACACAATACAAAGATTACTGTATTCGGTCTATGTCTTTCATCAGCGCTGCTCTCCTCAGGAACCCTGGCTGCTGTCAGCAATCACACAAAATTGCTTTGTGCCGCAGCAATACGTATCTTCAAGTTCATAATGTGGAGATTAGCAAGTGAGGGGCAGCATCAGATAAACCAAATCGTCTACTGTTAAGGGGTTCTAAAGCCATTTAGATGAAGAATTAAACTAACAGATGCTTGCAGCAGGATTTAAATAAGCCTCATTTCAGGGATTTTATTTGCCGCATCAGCACAAAAGAGCCAAACAAAGTATGGAGATGCAGGATTTGAAATAAAGAGTTTACCTTCTGCAATATCAAGAAAATCAATATGTCTTGCTGCGCGGAAGAACTGAGAGCCATAGGAGGTGTCAATGAAACCTTCATCCGTGGAATTATTTACACCTTGATCCCCAGCCATGGTTTTGGGAAGTGCTCAAAGGCTTTCACAGATACCTGATGAAAAAGGACGAATTCAGATAAAAGAGAACTTCAAGACTTATACAGCTGTATAAATTACACAAGTCTACTGAGATTACTGAGTGGAAAAATCCTAACTTATCAGAAAGTTTTATCAGGTTGCTATTGTTAGTGTTAGGAGCCGGCGCGCGTGGCTGACATAAAACAGTTAGGTTAGAAAACGATCCCATGATCCCAATGAGCGGAGTTCAATCGTCGACATCGGCAGAAGTCGAATTCGAAAAAAGGGCAGTCGTCGACTCGAAGCGAACGGGTCGAATGGTTCCGCGAACTGCCGCGAATGTCATGAACATTCGCCGGGGCGAGTTCGGACGAGTTTGTTATTGTTTCTCATTAAACTAACCCCTTTTGAGGACATTAGTTAGTAATAGTAATAGTACATCTACCTATATTTAATAGTCAAGAATGTCTAATATTTTTCACTGAATAAATTTTCGCATGTCTTCGGATAAATTATTTTTTTGGCAGTGTGTCTGTTTAGTAGTAATTTCTTGTCTAGCCACTGCTGTTCATTGTCGGAACGGTGGGAAGTTAATCGAAGCTGTTCAATCCAGAAGTGTTTTTGAGTCAGTTTAAATTAATTAATTAATTTCTTTTTCAGTCTGAGCCCTAATTGAGTGGACATTCTACGACTTTCGCTTAGGTAGGTGGAAAAATCCACTTTTTGAGGAAAAAGTAGTCTTTCAGCAGTTCATAGATTATCTCCACTCGCTACCACGCCAGAGGAGCATATCATTGCGTCTGATCATTGAAGGTTTCTTGAGAACCAAGTTGATGAAAAATGCAGATGAAACTGTAGCTTTTCTTGTTCTTGAAAAACTTTAGTGGCAGATTTTCTTATACAGCGAGGGAAACGTCTCTGCTCCATGGTCATAGTCGCCATGACTGAAGATTTCTTCGATGGTAAAGTTCCTTATCACCTTTAATACGCTTTAATATCACAGGTCTTTACATCTACCTCATTGTAAGTTGCTTTCAAGCCTCTACTTTGACAACTTTATTCTTGATGTGGAAGCCAACGTTTTGTTACCCACAGGAGTTACTTGGAAATAAATACATTCATGTAGGATACCTAGAATTTACTACCGACACAGTTTCCTTTGCTTCAATCTGCTTTTGCGCAGTTCCTCATACTGTAACGTGACAAGACTGAGTCATAGAAGGGTGCCTCGGCTCCCTACTAAAGAGAGACAGGGTGCTGAAAACACGAACACAAAAAGATAAGAGGATGAAACACTAATTGTAAGTATACTTGACTGCAAAAGTGAAAGAGCCGGCTGAGGCCCAGCCTCAAAGAAGTAGGTACAACTGGAACTTCTCCCACTAGTCCTAATCGGAACATTTTAATTCAAACATGGAAAAAGTTATGACATAGGTACCTATCGAGCATTCTTTTTGCACATTGCGGTAGGACATGATACTTTCAAAGACGAGCAAAATCAAGTTTATTTTCCATGAAATTAAAAAAAAAATTAGGCATTTTCACCGCGACTTGTTTCTGAAAACACAGAAATGAGACATTGATTTTTACACGCAACTTCATAAGAGTTTTTCACTTTCTGAAGAAATTTGAAGTTCATTTTATAAATCCTTCCATTTTAAGGGGATGCATAATGAAGGTGACATCACTTAACCACTATCCTATCTGCAGTTGCATCATTTCAGATGTTCTTAAATTTTTTACTATTTTGAAGCATAACGGATCAGTACATGAAGAAAAATTGCATGTAACGCACCGATTCTGAGATGCTATCAATCCATATTCCTTGCACAATGGAAATTTTTCTAGGTTCACCATTGATGTGTATGTCTAATCACATTAAAAGATAAAAACAAATAAAAAAAGCCACTTAGCGCCCCAGCTGGGTCTTATTAGAAAAGATATTAAAAAAACTTAAATTCCCTCCAAGTATCAGAATGGAAAAATCCTGAAGACCTTTCTCTTCAAATCATGGTGCAAAATTAAGAGGAGAACGTTTCTCCTAAGTTCATTTTCAATTAAGTCTATTATTGGACATAGCCTTTCTCTGATGAAGAAAAGGAAGACATTAATACGCTAGGCTTTTATTGCTCATCAGTCGAGGTCAAATTAAAAATCGAGACCTGTTTACTTAGGTATCTACTTTAAGGGTCAGAAACAAAGCATAAATTTAGTTTAATTTACAACCATTGATGGAATTTCCTGATCCAGTATGGCTCTCGTTCTGCTAAGAGAGCTACTTAAACTTAGAGGTCTTTAGTGTCGTGTCGTCCACGGCAAAGACAAGCAGCCTATACATAATGCTCCATTTGCAACAAACGATAAAATGAAAAGTAAAATAAAATGCACAATGGTGAACTAGGTTCGATTGGTTCGGTGCGTTCGGGCATCGACGTATGACCGTTCGCGAATCGACCTCTGACCGTTCGCCACGAATCGACCATTGCCGATGTCGACCTTTGCTACTCGTTCATCCCAATCAAAATATAAACATAACCTCAATTGGTATATTATGGTTTTTGTGCCAAGTCTTCGAGTTTCTTGGGTTTATCAGCTTCTCAGTCAATGTTTTTTTAAAATTTTACATGATTCGTGCAGTGATGGTATCAATTTTAGAATATTAACGATGGAGAAGCCTTTTTTACAATTTTTTTTCAAAAATCTTTCTCTCACCTTTGGTTTCTTTCAAGTTTTAAATGAACTTTCCTACTATCGCTTGTCTTTCTTTTACTATGATTATTCTTTGGACTAATATTCATCAACCATCGGAATCTACTTTATTAAGTAATAGAAAAAGTAGGTTTGTCAGTTAACACATCAACCTCAGTTTCCATAAGTCGAAGGTTGGCTTTAGCAAAATTCACCATGGAAACTAACCCGATTAGTGTCATCTTCATGAAGAGTGACAGTAAGGGTGATCGACTTCTTTTTCGGTTTCCATTCCAAGATAATTTAAGGCCAGAAACAAGGCAGCAAAAAAGACGCAAAAATCCGTATGCCCTAACAGTGAACGAAGACCTCTTGTACGCTCCTCCGCAGCAATCAACTAATGTCATCAAAGGACAGCTTAGCGGATTTTCCGATGAAGTTTTATCAACACTGTTTGCGGTGAAGCAAGAGCTATGTGAGCATAAGTTTGAATTGAAAGTCAATGATGTCAGGTTTGTCAGTCATCCAACACTGTTGAACACTCATATTCGTCACGCAGATCTTAGCGACTACAAAGCGAATAGCCCGTCAATATTTCTTGTCAACATTGTCTTTGCCCTCCAAGCGATAGCCAGCCATTCTATTGTAAAATGTTACTATGATCTTAGTAAGCAGCTTGGGATAGCACTCAGGCATGAAGAACAACGATGTGGATATGTGAGTGAGGAGATGAAAACCATGATTGCCATTCATGATGCAACTGCTACCAGGTAATTGTAACCCCTAAATTCACTATTCCTCTTAAAATTGTGGATCCTCCAATGCCAGATTAGCAAAGAGGGTAGTATGCTTGGCATAAAAAAGTCCTTAGAATTTAACATACTTCTAGTGGAAAATGATATTGAATGTTCTCCATTCCTAGTTAAATAACCTGCTAGGATCATCTTGGCTCTTAAAAATTGGTAGGATGATTGAGAATTAATTGAATTTACATTAAATTAAAAGAGCTGTTAGAAGTTTTTCGTTTTTAATTTACACAAGACAGCAGTATGCGGCACCCTCTGCTAGCCTGCACACCACTATTTACAGAAATAAGAAGAAATTAAGATAATTGGGAGTCAGATTGAAAATTAATTCGCTTAAGACATCAGAATGTCTATCTAAATCTAAAAATCTATCTTGAAGTGTCTTGTGAACTGACTCCTGTCTGAGCTAAAAGGACGCAATGGTCATGGGCTCACCGCTCTCGTGCATCTCTCAATTTTGGCAAAAGAAGACAATTATTCTGCTTTTTCAGCATTTCAAATTCCTTTCCTTCTAACTACTGGATTTTGAAGAAAGCCTATCCTAAAAATTTAGCTCATCCAAAAATAGGATAACAGATTAATGATATCTCTGGAATAATGAATTTTTTTATAAATTAAATATCTCTGCACTTTGTCTTTACCTAGGTCAGTCCTATTAATTCGTTGTATGTTTTGCTTTCAGACCTGAGGAAGCTTCATTAGACGGTCATGAGTCCCCTTTTGATATGATACTAAAGCAGTGTTCACTGGCTCGTAATTTAAAAACGGTATATGAAGATCTAAGTTCCAGTGGTAAAACCCATCTGCGGGTCAATAAATGGATCCAAGCTAGCTTTTGTCTACCTCAAAAAGTTCATCAGTGCCACCGTAAAGGATTTATGGTAGAACCAGAAATGATTGATAAGTACGCATTTTCCTTTACAACGGTTTTTTGTGAATATGTTTTGTCATTTATTTTAAAAGTATTGCTACCATAAGTAGGAAGCTAATCCAGTGTTTTCAAATCTCAAGAACATCTGAACATTCAAAGTATGATTCTTCTCAAGCTTCAGGCTCATTTTTCAGTCGTTGTATATCAAGCTTGAGATCAACACAATTACTCCAATATAACTTTATCTTTCTGATCTGCTCAAGCAAGAGCGCGAGTAAATTTAGATTTCAACTTATTTTAAATATCGACATAGTACTCCAACACATCCTAATTAGTTTTCTTTCGAATTTCAGCTGTTTAAAAAACCTGCGACCATACCATGGAATTTTGCTTTTAACTGATCAGTACAAACTATTGGAAACTATTCCACCAGATGCCAGTCCAGCCCTCACTCGCCTCATCAAAATGTACTCCCCCATTAAAAGTTTGCAAACTTTATCAGCAGATGCTGACTTGACCCTGAAGCAGGTAATACTTTTCTGTCTTAAAAAATTATTGTGTCTTTGAACTGAACTAGAAATGTGAGAAGAAGCCTCTTGATTTAACAATATTAGTTTGAAAAAGATGCATTTTTGACCGGACCACATGTCAAAATGTCCGATATTCTCTTCAAGGTCTTAAAAACCTTTTTCAATTTGACTACATTTGGCATTATGGAACCACTATTTTGGCTCATCTGTAAAAGCACCTACCTGCACAGAGATAGTGATGGTGCATATGTTGTCTCTGAAATAAGCAGAAATGTTAGTTCTTTATTGCCAAATGTAGTCCGATTTATATAATATTCCTAGAAATGGAAAGCAATAAAGAAACAAAAAGTAGATTGTCACTTGTAATAACTTTCAATGAGGATAGTAGTGGGCAGTTAAATTGGGATCTTCCTTCCCAGTTTAAGTTTTTGATTTTTTGTCTGTTTTTGATTGCACGTATAGTTTTATCACCTCATCAGTTTGGTTTCTTTTGTATTTACAGATTTTTCACCTTGTTGGACACCTGCTTTACTGGGGAGATGCTTTGATTATATACCCAATCTGTGATAGTAATGTGTATGTCATGTCCCCTGACGCTCCAACGTACAGCCACTCACCTCTAATAGAACAGTTCTCTGAAAGTTTTCCGGGACATAACCTTTTACAGGTCTTAATTTATTTTTTCATATCTTTTCAGCGACTTAATCCGGTTACTTTGAAACCTCTCCTGTCACACAAAATTCTCACAAAATTTTGATAGTCATGTAGATATATTTGGGCTATCGAAAATATTAATACCTATTTGTTGAAAAAATGTATCTTTATTAACTCTTTGAGATAAGCCTCTAAGGATGGCTGGTCTATCACGATAAATTAGGTATATTATATGTATGTAATCCAGAACAGATTAAGAGCAGCAATCCAATATCTTCATTTTAACACGTATGCTGAACTTCAGAACTTATTACCACCGTTTTTCCTAAAAACAATTTAATGGAATTTAACTTTTGTTTTTTTGTTCCTTAGGTGATGAGCGAATTCTCCTTGCCCATGTCTATGCGACAGAAGATTAGCCCTTTGTGTCAACCTCATGAGCAAGCTGAACTAGTCCAGATTCTTGTTTGGTTACTCCAACATCGGCTCTTACTCCAGCTTCATACTTATATTTTTTTCATCCCCACCCAGTCTGGCCTGTCTAATCATCAGGTATTCCTCTACCTCCTCCTTTGCATTTTCTCGTCAAATCAACTTTTCATTGAATTTCAAGTGTTATAAATTATCAACAGATAAGGCTAGATAATTAAGATAATTAATAAATTAATAAAAATTAATTAAGATAATAAGATAAGACAGATAATTCAATAGATAAGGCTCTTGCAAGCAGCTAAAAGTGATCTCATCTTTCTGTTTTGTGAAACATTTATGAAAAACAAAAATGCCTGCATCAGGAAAAACTTCAATAACAGGAAATTAATAGGTATTTTAGGCCATCAAAATGGCATTAGGAAATTAGAGGAGAAATTTTGACAATTGGCCTTCAGACAAGGTATGAATTAAAGCACTGGGCAACATGTTCACTCTCTAAAACTTCTCTAAGAGAACAAATTGCCCAATGGGATGTCCGAAAATAACTCTTAACCAAGATGAAAATGTTTACAATTATTATTGGTCAAATGGTAGGATGTAATTTGTATAATGTAAGTTCCATTCGATCAATTTTAAAATTAATTATTAATATCTCATTCAGGAGTTGATTTCTGAATTTCCTGTCGTATGAATGATGTTTTTTGTTAGTGTTAGGAGCATGAACATGTGAGTAGTTCAGACCTGGTCCAGTGGCCCATTGTGCTTTTTGCAACTTCTCCTTAGTTGGAAATGATTGAAGGGAAACAAATACTTTTGAGTTTGAAGTTATGATTGCCATCCTATTTGATATTGGTTAAATAAGAAATTTTCCAACCTTTCATTTTTTCATATTGCTGGTTGTATAGTGAGCCTTTGACACCCGGAAGTCATTTATTTTAGAAGTTTCCACATCTCAATTTATAATTAAGCACGTCAATACAACTCTTGCTTGAACTCTTCTTTTCAGCATTGATTTTCTCAATTTAGCGGTAAAATTGAAAGAGTTATTTAGAAGGAAATGTTTTACGGATAGTCAAACTTTGTCGTCTTTTTCGGGAAGGAATTTGTTGTTTCAGTATTTTTTGCTAACATTCTTTTTTATAATAGATAAAGGGTGACATAAATGTGTCTGATATTTCGTGTGATTTTTCTGTACGTATGTGAGAAGAGACACTAAAATTTTCGGACGAATTTGTGAGACGGTTTTTCCATAAAAAATCTAATGTCCATAGAAATATAGAGACAGAGCAAATAAAATACATTCCATTGTCCGGAGACGATTATCTGTAGAAGAACGTATCTAACATTTGAGCAATGAGTTGCAGTTCATTTCGATGGCTAACGAACAACACCACCTACCTGTAAATTGACGATTTCACAGAACAAAGAGAAAACTTTGCCATTTTTGTAATTTTAAGGTCGGATTTGCAATTTTTTCATACATAGCAGTGCCATTGAAGCGCTCCCCTACAAAATTGGGTATAAGCTAACATCATTTGCTTGTGAATTTTATACTGTAGAAAGCGGCCAAGTTGCTAAACCATTTTTGCCAAAATTGTCAGTCAGGCGATATTGTTTGTCAGCTCTCGATTTGTTCCTTTATCTGTAAAACAATTTTCAAAATCTTTGAGGATGAATGTTGGAACAACTGCACAGAACTCGAATTTCTTTTCATTAGTTTTTATCCGCACCAAAGTCTTTTAAAACTGTATTACCACAACTTCTCTTTTGGAACTTTTGCTCATGATCCTTTATTTTGTTACAGGAGCAGTCTGGTCCAAGTAGTCATCAGTATTTCTCAAGAGAAGAACGGAATGATAGCTTTCAAAGCAATTCCGATATAGAAACTAGTAGTGCGAGAGAACCCAGTGAAAGTGATATTAGCTCCAATGTAAGCGATGATAAAGTTCTAAATTTCACTCACCTAGAAAATGTTAATTACTCCTCATTTGATGAGCCAGTGGATCAAATAGATGGGATGTCTAGTCAGGAGTTTCTAGCCGATTTTAATGAGGAGGAGCGCTCATCTCTATTAAAAATTCCCGCTTGCTCAAGTCCAGAGGATTTTTATCTTCTCATCAGGTTATGCAAAAGAGGATACTTACATGGGATGCACCATCTGGAGGAAATAATGTACTTAGAAAATGTCCGCAGATCTCAGCTTCTACAAATTTTAGATAAATTTAGAGATGTTCTTATCACTTGTGAAATGGAAGACCTTGCAATTTCGATGTTTCATTCACATTCTGCAGACTGAAACCAATTTTTTTCAAATCCTAAACTCGTGGAAGGAGTCATTTTTTGTGATATCAGTAAGTTTTGAAATATTTTAATACTTTCTTTTTTTATACCTCTCAACATTTTTTAATGTAAAAGAAGTGAAGTGTAGAAAAAAAATTGCGTTCACCCAGCGGTGATTCATGACATTGAAGCTTCACATGACTTTCTTTACGTAGGCTGTATGGATGAACTACAGTAGTGAAGGGGGATGGAAAATTTTTTCTGAGGCTAGGTTACAAGTAATCTGGGTCCACATCTACACTGCAAGTTTTCTAAATCTGTTTCCTTCAAATCCAACCAACACCAACTTCTTTCACAACCAATTTGACCAAGGAGGGTTTGTTTGTAGTATAAATTGGTTCTACATAGAGTGGTGGCAAAATATATGACTTTCATTGTTTCAGGCAAAAAAAAAAAAAAAAAAAATAAGAAGTGATTGGATCACTAAATTTTAGGATAAAATTCGGCAATGCTGGGCAAAAGTAAAGATGCTGATTCCTGAGCTTAAAAACACTAAAACTGACCATGTAGAACAAATAATCCTTGCAGCAATTTGCAATCAATTAGAAATTTGTGCCGCAGAAAAATGTATACACAGCCAGGTGAGGACTTTAGTCGAAGTATATTTTCATTTACATTTCACCCTCGTAAAATCGGAAAAGTTTCCCTCCTCTACGAATAATAGTTTATTCGGCTATTGCGAGATCCAAAGATTGTACACCTGTGGTTTTAAAAAGAAAGACGTTCAAGCAGATGCATGAAACTAACTGATCAAAAAGTTATTTTTTGTAACTTTTTCTTCAGACCTGCAGGCAATGCACTTTCTATCAAGTAATAGGAGACCGTTTTAAGTGTTGTTGGGGCTTTATGTAGTTTACAATTTCATAAATGCCGAAATTTTGTGAAATATTGCTTCAAATTGGCGGAAGTAAAATATAGTTTCTTTATCAGTACAAAAATTGGTGGAATAAACCTCTCTGTAGCCAGTATGAAGCTTTTGGAAAAGACCTGTCATTCTTGGTGTAGTTTACTGTTTATATATAAATTTCGTGTAAAGTTAAGTGCAATATTTATTCATCGGGCTGCATTTCTTAGCTTCAAAGTGACATTCTCATTACCATCAAATTTTCCTTCGCTTGGTACTTGTCCTCTTTTGTATTGTGACGATC